TCAGGACAGTCATGAACTTGCCCTCTGAAACGGCAAACAAGCATGCAATCAAATGCTTCCTTTTATAAGTTGCCTTGGTCACAATGACTCATCATAATAGAAAAGTAACTAAGACACATATTATAAGAGATAGAAATCAATCTGGAAAGGCTACATACACAGTGGAATCCCAGCTATATAATAGTGTGGAAAACATAGAACTATGCAAATTAAGTGATGAGATGTAGTTACCAAGGACTTTAAAGTGCAAGGATGGATGGGCAGAATCCAGAGGACAGTTAGGGCACTAAAACTGTTCTGTATCATACTATTCTGGTTTATACTGGACATCAAACATCTGTCAAATCCCATAGACTACACGACACGAGGAATGAATCCTAATATGGCTTTGAGTGATGAAGTCTCATTGGATAGTCATTGGTTGCAGCTGCTTGCACAGGGATTCCATCTTACCACACATTGAAGCAGTGGTTGATATCAGAGGCTCATAAGTCAACTTGCCAGGGTTTGGGTTCAGTTAACACTGTCCTTGTGATCTGGTTTCCTCATCTCTGAAACAAAGAAAAAAAGAAATCTGTGTCAACCCTTTAGAGAGAAAGTAAATGAGATTTAAACTACTTCGAATAGTGCCTGTCTCATAAAAAGTTTCAGCTCAATAAATCTTAGTTATTGTATCTTTTACAAACTTACAAGTGCTTTTTAATCTACAATACCTTATTGAGTCGTTCTAACCTCCATGCAAGGTTAGTATGATTATCCTCACTCTGTAGACAAAGAAATTGTATTTCACCATGGCTAAATAGTTGTTTAAGGTATAGCAGGTAAATCAGAGTTATTCAACATTGGCATTGGGACTTCAAATCCTATGTGTACCACCTTCTGTGACTAATTTTTTTTAATATTTGTGTGTGTGTATATTTGTACATGTATGTAAATGCTCATGGAAGCCAGAAGAGGGAGCACAGGAGTTATAAGGCAAATGTGAGCTATCTGACAAGAGTACTGTGAACTCAACTCTGGTCTTCTACTACAGAATTAAATGTTTCTAACCTTATAGTCCTCTCTCTAACCCCTTTGTGATCTTTAAAATCAGTCTCCTGTTCTTCAGGAAGTCCTGATGTCTTCACTATTTTATATCTTCCTATCCATTCCAGATCCTCAGCATATTATGGACAGGAGGTTGTCAGTCCATAGAGGAGCCTTAAGATCTATTCTTATAAGAGATATTATCCCAGGGGGAGGTGAGTGAGTGGTGTTACTGGAGGTCACAACCTGCTTTAGGATATATCAGGAATGGATTACTTTCAATACTAATAATCACAAACTAGATTGGCTCAAACTGTGAGCTGAAGATTTGCCTGTATTCTAAGTTGAAGAGATTTCCAAACATTTCTCCCTCCACCGTTAGTGCCACCATTGAAACTACAAAAACTGGTAATATGAAATAAAAAGACAAATTAAAAGCACAAAGAAGAGGAAAGGGGAGCAGCCCCATGCACCCAGCTGGAACATGAGTCATAATTACACTTCTTTGGGTTTGTCATGTCCTTGGCAGATTCGAGAAGCACAGAGTTGGTGCCCATGTGAGTGTCAGACTCAAGGAGAGAAGATAGTTCCTCAGTAAGTTCTGTTTCCCTGGAAATGTGTTGTGGGACAATGGTTTTACCCTGTAAAGATTTGTTTATTGTACTTATTTAATAAAATGTTGATTGGCTAGTAGCCAGGTAGGAAACAGAAGTAGGGTGACAAGAACAGGAGAATTCTGGGAAGAAGAAAGATTCAGTCTGCAGATGTTGCCCAGACACAGAGGAAGCAAGATGAGAATGCCTTGCTGATGAAAGGTACCAAGCCACTTTGCTAACACAGATGAGAATTATGGGATAATATAAATTATAAGAGTCATAAGAAGCCTGAGATAACAGGCCAACCAGTTTATAATTAATGTAGTCCTTTGTGTGTTTCTTTGGGATAGAATGGCTGCAGGACCTGGTGGGACAGAAACCTTGGTCAACAGAAGTGTTGTTTTTTTCTTGCTGAACCCAGGGCTCCACAGAAGTTCTTTGAGGGTAAGTTCTTCTGTGAAGAAGCATTTGTAATGCCGTGAAGATGCTCAGTGGCTTCCAAAAGGAGACGGTGGGATGAAGTGGCTTTGCATGCATTTCTCTATGATACCACACAAAACCTTTATCTTTGGTATAAGCTTCTAAAGCTAGTGTACTTGTATTAAAGGATATACATATTTTAAAGCGTATATAAATGCACAAATTTCCTTCCAGATAAGCTTTACCAATTACACTGTCTACATATAAGAATATAGTATTTTTTTCCAGAATAATTTTTCAGAATATTAAAAAGAATTTATACTTTCCTCTGTTACCACAAAGAACTGTCAGCTCTGTGTCTTTGAATAAGATGGTGTACACCCATGGAAACCCAATCATCTGGTGTGATGTCAGTGTTGACAGTGTGATAGGATTCAGAATTGACTAGGAGATGGTTGGCCTCCAGCATACCTGTGAGGGGTTATTTAGATTAGGTCAGTCTCTGGGCCCACCTGTGAGGGGTTATTTAGATTAGGTTAGACCCTGGGCCCACCTCTGAGGGGTTATTTAGATTAGGTCAGTCTCTGGACACACCTGTGAGGGGTTATTTAGATTAGGTTAACTCTGGGCACACCTGTGAGGGGTTATTTAGATTAGGTTAACTCTGGGCACACCTGTGAGGGGTTATTTAGATTAGGTTAACTCTGGGCACACCTGTGAGGGGTTATTTAGATTAGATTAACTCTGGGCACACCTGTGACAGGTTATTTAGGTTAGGTCAGTCTCTAGGCACACCTATGGGGGGTCTTGATTGAGGATCCTCCCTAAAAGAAGACAGCCTGCTCTTGAGTCCTGGCCATGAAACAGGTAGCTGAGCACAAGAATTCTTCACTCTCTCCCTCCTGATTGTGGGCACAAGGGAGTCAGTGACCAAGGCCCTACCTTCAGGACTTCTCTGTCATGATATGAAACGTACTTCAAACTGTAAGCCCAGGAAGTGCTTTCTCCCTTAAATTGCTTTTATCAGAGTACTTTTTATCATAGTAATGGGAAAAGTAATGAAAACATCTGGTTTCCATGATAGGATCACACTGGTTTGGATACTTGCTGACTGTGTGACCTAGATAAAGGTATTTAATCTTTGAATTCTTAACTTCATCTGTGAAACTGGAATAGTAACATCTATCTTAAAGCATTGTGATGATGACAATAAGGTTGACTGAATCACCACAAATTAGGCAATAAGTAAATATACCCCTGCCACTTCCAGCTGCTGCTGTTTATAGCTTTGTTGAAATTCGAGCTACCTGTATCCTGCTCTGATCCATCACAAATGTTTACAGTACCTGGTGTTATAAAATGCTCTTCTTTCATAGCGGACAGACTGAATTAAAACTGCTTTTAGTCAAGCATTTATTAAGGTACTAACAAGTTTTTTCCAAATTAAAATTTTAAAAATAATTTTCCAGTGATGTGGGATTCCCCTCTGTATGCTATGAATGTGATTGGTTGATTAAGGAATGCTTTGTGTCTATAGCAGAGCTATAGGGGAACTTAACTAGGTGGGGAAAACTAAACTGAATGCTGGGAGAAAGAAGGAGGAGTTAGAGAGAAGTTATGTAGCCCCTCTGGAGATGGACGATTTACCTAGTAAGCCACAGTCATGTGGCAATACACAAATTACTAGAAATGGGTTAAATTAAAATATAAGTGTTAGCCAATAAGAAGCTAGAGCTATGGGCCAAGCAATATTTTAAATAATATAGTTTCTGTGTGATTATTTTGGGTCTAAGCTGCTGGGCGGCCAGGAAACAAACAAGTGACCTCTAACAATACTTCAGTTAAGTACTATTTTCTATATTTCTGGATTGCCCAGTGTCAGCTACATGGACATTCGGGTGTCATAAGTCCTGAGACAAACTGATGGCTGCCTTAATGTGTCTTCATTTTTCACTGCATTTGTTCTTTTGGAACCCTGGTTATAGATTTGTTAGTCACAGTATAAGATTCTTTCAAAGCTTGATATATATATGATCTATAATTAAATTAGATCTATTCAGGTCTATTTAGTTTAATCAAAGTTATTATAATGGGCCTGTCTTAGAATCTTCAGTAAGCAAATTCTGGGAAGGTCATACATGGGCATTGTCTAATCTTAGAACATTAACAAAGAGTGCTATTGGTCCATGAGTCTACTTTTCATTACTATAGTGACATACCCAAAGCAGGCTAAAATTATAAATAAAAGAGGTTTAATTAACTCACAGTTTGGGAAGCTGAAAGTCAAAACAGTATGGGTCACCCTCCAGTGAGGATCACCCACCTCAGCTGCATTGCCTCGGGGTGGATGGCAAGGACATCATCAATCAGGAAGCCAGAGGGAACTGCAGGGGTCAAAACTAACTCTCAAAAGTACTCACTCTGAAAGACCAGTGTTCCCTGTTTGAGACAGGGATCCAAATGACCTAAGTCCCCACCCCTTACCCCAACTATCACCCCCCCCCACATACACACACAACACACTACTTCAAGGTTCTATAGCTTCCACATTAAAAACAAAAAAGCCTGTCCTGAAGTCCTTGCCCTTGTTGTGTGGTGCAGGAAGGCTAACTCTGGTGGCTGTGTGAAGGACATGCTATTGCACACAGTCTCTGAGGTGTCATTTGTGGATTAGCAAAGCTGCTAATTCTCAATTGCTTTTTTCGTAAAGGTCAGTGCTGGGGGGTTGTCCTGAGACTTGGTGGCCCCAGAGGCCTTGGCAGGAAGTGAGAGGTGGGAGATAATAAATCATGGCTTCTTTTTGTTCTTCAGTTTGCTTGTCATGTGACTTTTGCAGTCTAGAGCAGAGGGCAGAGTTGTGGAAAGTAGTGAAAGAACATTTGTGTCAAGTGGAGGCAATCAAATAGCCTGCCAGTGAGTCACAGTGCAGTCCTTTGGACTGTTTTCAACCTATCAGAGATGAGCCAGGTTGGAGAGAAGCATGCAGAAGCAGTGATCCAGCATCTCCAGGTATGACCTATGAGACCCGGTTCATATACTATCTGAAGGTGAGAGTGGAGACTGAGTCTGACCTTCCTAGCAGAAGGCACTCACTACCCAAAGGCTCTGTCAGAACTGTGGGGAGAGTTCATAAAGCCTTTTGGACCAAACTGGGCTTTGCCCATGCCTCTTCATAAATCTAGGGTTCTGAGCCATGATAGGACCCAAACATAGCAGAAACCACGAGTGGATTACCCCAATAAGGATTTATCAGAAACACTCACTTTTCATCTCTTCTGCTCTTTGTTTGTAGTAGTGTTTTTTCTTTTCTTCCTTCCTTCCTCCCTCCCTCCCTCCCTCCCTTCCTTCCTTCCTTCCTTCCTGTGTGTACATGGGCATGCTCATAAAAGTCCAAGAATAACTTGCAGGAGCTGGTACTCTTCTCGCCCTATGTAAGGGTGTTTTGCAGATCAAACTCAGGTTATCAAGTTCAGGACAAGTTGTAGTAATAGGAGCAGCGGGCTACGTCCCCGGCACCCAGCTGCCCGCATGGCTAGCTTTACCTGAAATAATTACACGGAAATTGTATTCATTTAAACACTGCTTGGCCCTTTAGCTCTAGCCCTTACTGACTAATTCTGATATCCTGATCAACACATCTCTAATAATCTGTGAGCACCGGTCTTACCGGGAAGATTCTAGCCTACGTCCATCCTGGGTCGGAGCTTCATCGCGTGTGTCTGCCGGGGAATGGGGCATGGTGTCTCTCTCTGAGGCGTTTTACCTCACTTCCTCTTCCTCCCAGCATTCTGTTCTATTTACTCCACCCACCTATGTTCTAAGCTATGAACCCAAGCAGTTTGTTTATTACTTAACCAATGAAATCAACAGATTGATATATGACACTCCCACATCACTTCCCCTTTTTCTGTTTAAACAAAAAAAAGGTTTTAACTTTAACATAGCAAAATTACATATAACAAAACAGTTATCAAGCAAGCATTACAGTTACAATATTTATATCTATTTTATCTTTTATCATAACAATGGAAAACTATAACTATCTATCTATTCTTTAACTCCAAAGACTCCAGAAGAATACAATATTACCCAAGCAAACAAGAAATCCAAAAGTCTAGAAATGACAGAGACATCTCGCTGCCTGGACAGTCACCCAAAGTTTCTCTGTACCGTTGGGGCATCCATCTTCAGCCTACAGGCCCATAGTTTCCAGCAGACATTTCCACAAAGCAGGAAATTTCAAAGGCAATCACTATCTGCTTGTCCTGAAGAATGTCTTGTAGACTCTTTCATGAATCAGGAACCCCGAAAGATCATCTCACCTTTAGGCAAGTTTAGTAGTCCTTTCTCTGCGGGTTCCCTGTGTCCAGATTATGCAATAGTCCAGGCAAGAGGAGTTTCTTGCCCAAATGGCTACCAAACTCCATAAGGATCCTCTTCGATGCCCATCTTCTTCCTGAAGTAGATTGGTGCTGCCAGGAGCAGAGTGTCTCATTGTCATGAAAAGTCCTAAGTTATTAAAACATTAAATGCCATATTCTGCAGTCTTTGAAAGATATGAAGAATGTCTATCTAACTGAAATGTATCTCTATTTATCTAGAAAATCTAACTAACATGACTACAAGCTTGACTATTACTTATGATTATCCATCAACAACCTATATTTCCTAATTATACATTACATTTTAAAAATGAACTACACAATCACAATACCTTAATCAATATCAAGAAATGCATATACATATAACAAAATTGACCTTAAAATCCACACCAATGCAAATTATTCATACCTATATCATTTCCCCCTTTAAATGTAAAAGAACATTTATAAACAATATTTTTGGGAACATGGGTGCAGTTTTTTCTCTCCAAACTGCTTCCTGCTGAATGGGGGTGTCATTAATTAGGTCTTTCATGGTATAACCTGTGTGCTAGTTTCATCTCAGTTGGCAGTTGAGCGGAGCAATTTTCTGAAGATGTTCACAGCAAACCTTCAGGAGGGCGTGGTCCATCATACCATATCGGAATAGAAGAAATGAACAGCATCTCATCCTCTGTGAAAACAAAATAAGAAACTCCTTTCCAAAGCATCATGTCCTTAGATCCAAATTTCAAAGTCAAGGCATTTTCAAAATATCTATGTTGGATTAGTTCAGCAGCATTTATAAACAAATATCTTTTAGTAGCTTTTGCTCTTTCCTCGGCATTCAAACAATTCAAAGAGAGCATAATAGCATACAGTATCAAAAGTCTCTGTGCATTTTCCATCTTTGTTCGTTTTACTTTAACCTCTATTTTGTTTGTTTTTACTTTTATTTTTTGCTTTTTGAGACAGGTTCTCTGTATCTTTGACCTGGAATAACTCTGAAGACCAGGCTGTCCTCGAACTCACAGAAATCCACCTGCCTCTCTCCCACATCAACAAGTGTCTTTTCCTGCAGAACCATCTTGTTAGTCTAAATGTTTTGTTTTAAAAAGAAAACCCTCTCCTTTCTCAAAATGTTTTTAAGACACAGAAAACCTTCATTTATTATCCTGTGGCTTTACCACAGAGGAAACAAACCCACAGGAGAAGTCAGGTGATTTATACAAGGTCAAGGTCACATAACCAGATAATTGTATAACCAAAGAGGTAGTTTGGTGTGGGAGGTCCTTCTGTCTGTCCTGCTTTCATTGGTTAATGAATAAAGAACTGCTTTGAGCCTATGGCAAGGGCAGAACAGAACTAGGCGGGGAAAGCTAGGCTGACTGCTGGGAGGAAGAAGGGTGGAGTCAGGGAGATGCCATGAAGCCGCCGTTGGAGATAGACGTGCTGAAACTTTGGTGGTAGGCCACGACCTCATGGTGATATACAGATTACTAAGTATAGGTTAAACTAAGATGTAAAAGCTAGCCAATAAGAAGCTAGAGCTAATGGGCCAAGCAGTGATTTAAATAATATGGTTTCTGTGTGATTATTTTGGGTCTAAGCTAGCCCGGCAGCCAGGAAGAACAAGCAGCCCTCCTGCAACAGTAGTTAGGGCCCTAATTCTCCTATCCTTTACATGTAATATGGTTTAAAAAGTGTCTGGGGTCTGTCACTCTTCCATAGGGTCAGAATTTCTAAGTTTTTAGGTCTGAACCAAGGAGTTCCAATCCTGACTAGACACTAAAATTGCTTGTGGAGTATAGCCAAATGACCCTCTATCCCAGTCCCTCCCAAAAAGATGGCCTGATTGTTCTAAGATAGGACAAGCCATGCTTTGAAAGCTCCCAGGTCAGCCTAGCTGCACTAAAATGGTAGCCTTTCTTCTTCCTGTTCTCCCTTCTCCCCTTCTCTCTTTTCTGTCGTACAGGGGACAGAGGTTTGCAGTCTTTCACACACTATGCAAGCTGTCTACCACTGACTACATCTCCACCCTTCTGATCATATGTCAGACGTATTCTCACAAATAGCTTGGAATGTATGTCTATGCCATCATACCTGACAAAGCAGTGGTCTTCACAGAGTGATCCTTTGTTCCCCACATCAGCAGCATCTGGGAACTTGTTACAAATGCATGTTCTCAGGTCTCACTGTGTCTCTGTTGTCAGAAACTCTGGAGGTGGGCTGAGAACCCAGTCATCTGTGTTTTATCAGGCCTACTCCTGACAATTTTGATATCCACACAAGGTTGTTCGGCCAAAAATTTCCAGGTGACATTGGTATTGTTGATTAAGACTAAATGTCATAAGCTACTATCCAAGGAGACTCCCTTCGAAAGCTAGCATTATGATTTCATTGCCCTACACCACTGTCTGCAGTCATGTGGAGGGCAGAGGAAGCCCCAAGTGAAAGAAGTTCGGTGTATTTTGACATGGACGTGACCATGGAGAGGATGCCAAGGCCTCGGATCTATGGGACAATTTGTCCAAGCTGTTATCTTTATGGGCCAGGCTCAAGAGGGCACAAAACTATCCTAGGCAGTCTAAGAGAGCGTTTATGAAGGATTGGTGAGTGTGTGCAAAGACTAACAACTGCAGCCCCCTTGGGACGTTTGCAGCCTGAGACTGCTACCTACAAACACCTCTTGCAGAGATTAGCCAAGTCCTCCCGCTGAGCTGTTTACAGTGACTAGAGACTTTGCTGTGCACCTGTCTGTCTTTTCTTCATCCCTGTAGTTAGGGTCCCAGGGTCCAAACCTCTGTGGGATGCTGCAGTCATGCTAATTTACAAGACACAGCCCCAAATTTGAGAACCATTCATAATTGTGTCAAAATTACAGCCTTGGACATAGAATTACTCAGAGATTGACTAATTGGTCATCAGTCAAACTGAGTCTTGACAGACACTCAAACTCTGAGCTGAATCAGCCAATATGCCTCAACTTTCTCTGCCCAGAACAAGGGTATGCAAAACAGAGAACATGAGGGGGCAATAAAGAGAAGCATACATATGATGATAAAATGGGTAATTTTAGAGGAAAATCAGGGTTAAGAGGGGAGGTCAGAAACCATCCTGGAAACCTTGAGAGACCGGGAAGCTACAAGAAGAAAGTCCCGCGAATATCACAATCCCAGCCACGCCTTTGCCTCACCTTGTAAATATCTTAATGTGGAGGGAAAGAGCCTTCATCAGTTCAGTTCCCAAGACTTTGACAAATAGCCTGGTCTAGGCCATTAAGATATCCAAGACAGATACAACTGTTACAGCCTGACTGTCTAGAGCTCCTTCTCCACCAAAGAGAACCTAAAACTGTCAGTGTAATCCCCAGCCACCTCCGGGAAGAGGGCAGATGGGCAGGGAAGGAAGAAGATGGGGCTGGTCATGGGTGAAGGAGTAGCTGGAGACTTAATAAGCACTGCACATGGGTGTGGACTTTGATCTATTTATAGTTTGGGGAGGTTTAATTGAAGGTTTGATTCATTAAAAAAATTTTTTTTGGGTTCTTGAGCATCACAACGAAATGTGCTTTGCCTTTCTGGGTGAGCTATGCAAAGCCTATAAGCATATAAGCCATGTATACATTTAGCCTCTTAGCTTGTGGGCCGTTGACTTGAATTTGAGGTCCTTTTGCCTCTGCCTTTCTCCAGAGTGTTGGGATTAGAAGCATGTGTCGCCATATCCAGGTTTAACACATGTGATAAAGGTTAAGAAACACTATTTGCTTTGCTTTTATTTGCAACCATGGGATAATTTAGGATGCAAGGAAAAAATGATTCTTTGGATGTGTACTCTGGGGAATCAGTCTACAGTCTGATTACAGCCATCAAGGCAAAGGACAGGAGAAGATGGTAGCATTGGAAAAGACTACATTGGGTGTCTTCATCAGGATCCTTGCAACAATTCCTGAACTGCAGAGGGAAATAAGAAGGGCATTGTTGGGGAATGAAAGCCTGGTGATTTTGTACAGTTTCTTACAATAGGGATCATTTGGTTATGGAGCCGGTATGTCCCCTCCAGATCAGCAAACCATCCAACAGCCCCGAGAAGATTGTTTGGATAGACTGTGGAGTTCATGACAGAATGGATTGCCCTGCTTTTTGCCATTGGTTTATGAAAGAGGAACATGTCTTTAGTTTCCTCATAAGGCTAAATCACGCCATTGAGTACCTGTCACTAGCGACCTCTTTAGCAGAGCGCTTCTTTCTTGTTTCCTTTAACTATACTGAATTCGTCCCTCACTTCCAGTGAGAAGGAATTAGTGAGTAGCCTTGCCAAAAAAAAAAAAAAAAAAAAAAAAAAAACTGAGTAGCCTACTCCATTCTACTGCATCCAAAAGTATTTTTATTGGAAGGTAAACCTACCTAAGGGTAGAAGAAAATGCATATTAGAAGTCAGAGATGATATTGAATCTTGTCAAATAGCATTGGGAAAATTTCAGCATTGAAAGAAGCCTTTCACCTAGTTTCTCATCTGTTAAGGGAACTTGGAAATAAGAGCGCATGTGTTTGCTGTGTGGGTCAAGAGATTTCCCATATGGAAAGCACAAAGCATGGCGAGCTTTCATATATCTCTTCTCTTCTTTCCTTTAACGGAGTCAGACAATTTAAAGTGGTATATTCTTGTTAGTCTTTTTGGAAACACAAATATAAAAAGTAACCCAGGAAGAGTCATCCCTAAGGTCAACAGCAGAAATGCATTAGCAGGTCTGTCAGACAATTCCGTTTGCATTCGAATTTGAAAGCCACTACTGTAAAAGACGAAGCAGTCACGGAGGAGCCGGAAGCTGTGACTGTGAGAGCAGCCATTGCTTCTAATTAATCTGAAATTTACAGAAAATTAGATGAGAAAGGCTTTTTGCTCAGGACTTTCTTTGGACAGCCAGCTTCCAAATAATGACACAGAGATTTCTTATTAATTATGAAAGCTTGGCCTTAGCTTAGGCTTGTCCTCAACTAGCTCATAACCTTAAACTAACCCATTTATGTTCATCTATGTTCTGCCACATGGCTTGTTACCTCTCCTCCATACTGTACATCCGACTTCCCTGTATCTCACTGTTGAAATCTTCACCTCTCTATTACCCAGAAGGCCCATTTATCCCCTCCTGCCCAATCACTGACCATTCGGCTCTTTATTTACCGATCAGAAGGTGCCTTGGCGGAGGCACATCTTCACAGTGTACAGAAAGATTATTCCTCTACAAGAATCATTAGAGATGTTTCTCTTTTCACTGCCAGCTCCTACAGAATGATAAAGACAACATGAGGACCAGCAGGCTCCCTAAGGAGCTAGCCTTCTACCTGCTTCCCGTCCTCAACAATGATGGTTGCACTACTTGGACAACAGTGTGGACACAGTGTGGGCCAGGGTTATGTTTGCGTACTGAAGCCCTGTTAGGATCATTCTTCTGATGCAGCCATTCTAGCTAGAAAAATCTTTTATATGCATAAGGACAGAAGCCCCATTTGATAATTCTTTAATCAAAGTCAATGTTAGCATGTGGAAGCCTAATACCTCCGTAGAGTTGGGGAGTCTAGGATGGGTCTTGTCTATGGTTTTCCACCTACCCATTCTCCATTTGGATGAACTTGTTTCTTCTGCCATCTTCCTGGTGTTTATGATTTGCCTACTACCTCACTAGTGCTATACTGACCTATATCTACTATATATATATACCTATATATACTGATCTATATCTACTATTATATACCTGTATACACTGACCTATATCTACTATATATATCGTATATATTGACCTACATCTACTATATATACCTGTATATACTGATCTATATCTACTATATATACCTGTATATACTGACCTATATCTACTTATATCTGTATACACTGACCTATATCTACTATATATATCATATATATTGACCTACATCTACTATATATATACCTATATATACTGACCTATATCTACTGTATATACCTGTATATACTGACCTATATCAACTATATATATACCTATACATACTGACCTATATCTACTATATATCTGTATATACTGACCTATATCTACTATATATACCTATATATACTGACTTGCACCTACCCCAGATCTCTGCATCTAACACAGACCTCATATACTGACCTGCACCTACCGCAGATCTCATCTACTGACCCGCACCTACCCCAGATCAGCTCTAGAAGCATGAGGGAGGGCAAACAATATCTAAATACCAAACTAGCCTGTGTATCCCAATGCAATCATTCAGTAGGTTAACTCTCTCAGGCTTCTAATGCAGTCAATAGAGAACTTTCTCCATGCGCTGTTTATAAAGCACCACTACCCGAATGAGAGCCCCTTGGAGTTCCTCCTTTCTAGAAAGCACTCCCGTTTCCCCCTCATCCACCCTTCCCCAAAACTCTCTCATGGGACCCCTTCTCTAGCACAGTCATTCTGGCCTTGAGTGTGAGCTGAGCCCCGCCCCAATAAGCTTTCCTGGCGACACAAACAAACAAACAAATCTCTGTTCCACCTGGAAAGGTCTATTCCACTTGTCAAACTGCTTGCCTGGCATTTGTATGACTCAGTCCTAAACTGTACCCAAAGCTGCTCTAAGTAAGATCATGTCCACAGACCCAGCTCATCTGCTCAGGAACGAAAGGTCAAACGAGCCCTCAATTGTATGGCTTACACATCTGTCCACTTTAGTTTGTAATTTAGTTCCTAATGTGGAGTGTTGTTGGCATCTGTGCAAAACTAAATTTCACATATGCACAAATTTTACAATAACAAAGACAAGGTTTTTTTTTTTTTCCAAATAGTTCCAGGAAGTGTTTTCTTTGTTTGAGGGCCATCTCATGGTTCCTCTGTTTCATGATCCTCTCTGGAGGAAGTCCCACTCATCCCATAATAATGGCACATGTCATGGAAAATATCAATCAAAATTTCATTGTCTCCTGGTGTAGTATGTACCTTCTTGAAAGATAAACTGATGAATAGCAGCTACTACAAAAAACTGAGAAGCCATGTACTTCTCAGCCTTGAAAAACCCATGTAGCCTCTTGGGCATTCTGATGACTTTTATTTCCTTTAAAGAGGTGATATCTTCTATACAGTGTTCAAGGGCAGAACTCTCTTTAAATGAGATTGGCTAAACTAGAATAGACTATATCTAGACTAACGTTTTAGGTTTACTCTGATGGCTGTGTTAAAACTCTATGACTGAAAGGCAAGTTGGGAAGGCAAGGGTTTATTTGGCTTATGATCCCACATCACTGTTCATCATGGAAGAAAGTCAGGAAAGAAACTCAAACAGGGCAGGAAGCTGGAGGCAGGAGCTGATGCAGAGGCCATGGAGGGTGTTGCTTCCTGACTTACTCCTCATGTCTTGCTCAGAATGCTTTCTCATAGAACCCAGGACCACCAGCCCAGGGATGGCACCACCCACTGTGGGCTGGGCCCTCCTACATCAATCGCTAACTAAGAAAATGCCCTACAGTCTTGCTTACAGCCTGATGATCTTTTGGAGGCATTTTCTTAACCATTGAGCCACCTCTCCAGCCTACGGTGGTATTTTCTTAATTGAGGGTCCCTCTTCTGAGATGACTTTAGCATGTATCAAGTTGACATAAAACTAGCCACTACAAACAGAATATGTTTTAAACCGTCATGTGGTTTGAAGATACATAGCTCACCATCAAGAAGATTAAAGCCAGAATGCTGTCTTTGGGTATTTTTTACAGCAGGAGGCAGACAGCAAGCAGAGTAAACATTTTCCTCTCCTTGCAACACTTCTGTGTCTGCAAATCTGGGTCTGGTCACAGCACTGGAAGCAATTGAAGAATCCGGGGTGGGTAAGAACACTGCCACTCCCTGAATGGCGAGACTTAAGTTAAAAAGCAGTCTCCATTGCTTGGAGGTCTTGAAAGAAAAAATGCTTCATTTTTCTGGCTTTGTTTATTTGTTTTCCTATTTAGAACATTGGTCACACAAACCCATCTTAACCAAAGTCCACTATGTGATGCCACATAGGAGGGGCACACGCAGGGGACTTTCCTATTATCAGTGTGTGCAGACAGCAGCTCTGCCGGGACAGAAACCAGTAAGGAAGACATGGCCAACACATCTGTGAGATTTTCTTAGGAATCTGATATTTGATTCCCCGGTCCTCCCACACCCGAAGCCCCCGAGGTTCACCACAGGTTAAGAATTTATTAACACACTGCCTCTTCATTCTGCATTTTCCCTTCTGAGTCACAAAGGGATAGAGTTTGTGCTGTTCCAGTCCAGATCATCAGGTCCGTCTTCGTACCTTTCTGAGCTCCTCGTCACTGGCTACTTGAGTGACTAATACAATTGATTAACTTATAGGACTGATTTGACAGCCACGGACAGGCCTGGAGTACCGAGCAAGCTTTGCTATTCACCCTGGCTCGTTTGTAAGTGATTATGACGTATTTCCGAAGCCTCCTGTATTTTCCAGGTATTGGCGCATCCACAAACTGCCAAGATTTAACATTCTGTGGGAGAGAATCAATGTCGGAATCAGAGACCAAAGCAGTCTCAAGCCTTATAGAAAGCAGAAAAGGACACCCTGTGCTTCCTGACTATGCAGTCTTATGGGCAGCTGACTCTCATACCATATGGCTACACCAAAAATAAACCAAGTAACTACGGAGAACTAGTGAGTCCTAAGTGCCAAGGGCTCTAGAGAAACCTCCACAGGATCACAGCCTTCTGGCCTCTGATTTTGGTTTCCAAGAGATTTTGGCTCCATTCTCCATTCCCCCCACCATCCTTATTTTCTTTTTCCTGCTTTTTAATACTGTGCCAGATGCCTGCCGGCAAGACTCTAGGTTAAATGCTGCTTTACCTGCACTAATTAACTACCTGTTTCAGGAAGTGTCAGGTTGGGAGACATCTTAGGTATTTGGCTATAATCTAAATGAGATGATTATGGTAATAATCTGCAGGGATGCGCTCTCCTTTCTGATGCTCCCTCGAAGCTCCATCCAGCGATTACAGTTTGTCAACCATGCTTTCAAAACTTGCCAGCTGTTGGTGCTCTCTTTTCCACTGAGCACAATGCAGTGTTTTCTTCTAGACTCTTCTGGAAGCATTTGCCCGGGAATATTTCTAAGAGGAAGTGCCAATGAAATGCAAGTCAGAGCCAGGAGCTTGTGCTTTGTTTTCCCAGGTCCTTCTCTGAAGCCCTGCTTACTCAAGGTCTGCTGGGCAGGCTTGCTGCAGAGAACTGGGCTCTTCGCCCTTTGCTGAGTCTGAGGCTCACAGTCACAAGTCAAAGGGGGAGCAAATGCAGAATTGCTGTAATATTTACTATATTTTAGCTGAGTTTTTTCTATTTTAATTATGGTAAAAATACTTAGCATAAATTTGCAGTGGCAACCATTTTTAGGTGTGAGTTCAGAATCTTCAATATTGTATACCAACCCCATGACTGTCTTATTGTGTATCCCCCATTTTCCCGTATGCCCTACTGTGGCAAGCACCGTTTTCTCTCCACACCTATGAGTGTGAGTTGTCCAGATGCCTCACATCAACAGAGCAGTACAGGATTTGTCTTTTTAGGACTAAGTTATTTACGTTAGCACAATATCCTCAGTGTAAATCTCCTGTAGGGGTAAGTCACAATTTCCTTTCTTGTCCTTTCGGCTGTGAGCCTTTAATGGCCAAGCTGTCTCTTCGGATTGGAATTTTCTTCCTTTTCAAGAGCAGGCAATATTCCCGAGTATGCATATACCATGCATTGTTTGTCACCGGGCAGTGGCACTGGGTCTAGCCTATTCTCCAGCCTAATGCTGCCAAGAACAAGGCTGTGCAGGTTTCCCTCCAAGACTCCACTTCACTTCTCTTAGACACATCTAGAAGCTCAGGCTTATATGATAATTCTAGTTTTGATTTCTTTTTTATTTCATTTACTGATTTCCATTTCTACTGTTCCATCTAAAATGTCCACCTACAGTGCACAATCTCACACCTCATCAAAGTCTTGTCAATGTTTATTACCATTATTTTTTTTAAAAAACTTTTAAAAAGAAGACCCTCATCATGAACAGATAAGAGGGTAGACGGGAGCAAGTGCTACCCTATCACAGAGGCCGGGCGACCTCTTGGTTAGTTTATGTCTCTTGTCCTTTCCCCACTAGAACGTGACTTATAGAGTACAGGCCAAGGATACAGGATAACCCACTAGAGACCTTTGCTGAAGGGAGTCCCCAGAAGTCAAAAATACCCAGCAATACATTTTTTCCTTCCACAAAATTCCACAAAAATTTATATTTTGTGATCATTTTCAAAAATGTAAAAGTAACTAACATTTGCTTGAATTATTACAATTTACAAAGGGATTTTAAAGGCATTATCTCATTTGACTCTTTTTTTCAGGTTTTCTTTTTTCTTTTTCTTTTATTGAGCTCTACATTTTTCTCTGCTCCCCTCCCTGCCTCTCCCTTACCCCCTTAAACCCTCCCCCAAGGTCCCCATGCTCCCAATTTACTCAGGAGATCTTGTCTTTTTCTAATTCCCATGTAGATTAGATCTATGTAAGTCTCTCTTGGTGTCCTCACTGTTGTCTAAGTTCTCTGGGATTGTACTTTGTAGGCTGGCCTTCTTTGCTTTATGTTTAAAACCACTTATGAGTGAATACATATGATAATTGTCTTTCTGTGTCTAGATTACCTCACTCAAAATAATGTTTTCTAGTTCCATCTATTTTCCTGCAAAATTCAAGCTGTCATTATTTTTTTCTGCTGTGTAGTACTCCATTGTGTAAATGTACCACATTTTCCTTATCCATTCTTCGGTTGAGGGGCATTTAGGTTGTTTCCAGGTTCTGGCTATGACAGATAATGCTGCTATGAACATAGTTGAGCACATGTCCTTGTGGCATGATTGAACATCCTTTGGGTATATACCCAAAAGTGGTATTACTGGGTCTTCAGGAAGGTTGTTTCCTAATTTTCTGAGAAATCGCGATACGGACGTCCAAAGGGGTTGTACCAGCTTGCATCCCCACCAGCAATGCAGAAGTTTACCCCTTTCCCCACAACCTCTCCAGCATAAGTTGTCATCAGTGTTTTTGATCTTGGCCATTCTTACAGGTGTAAGATGGAATCTCAGGGTTGTTTTGATTTGCATTTCTATGATGACTAAGGATGTTGAACATTTTCTTAAGTGTTGTTCAGCCATTTTAGATTCCTTTGTTGAGAGGTCTCTGGTTAGGTCTGCACTCCATTTTTTTTATTGGATTATGTGTTCTTTTGGTGATCATTTTCTTGAGTTCTTTGTATGTTTTGGAGATCAGACCTCTGTCTGGTGTGGGGTTAGTGAAGATCTTTTCCCATTCTGTAGGCTGTTGTTTTGCCTTGTTGACCATGTCCTTTGCTTTACAGAAGCTTTTCAGTTTCAGGAGGTCCCATTTATTAATGGTTTCTCTCAGTGTCTGTGCTGCTGGGGTTATATATAGGAAGTGGTCTCTTGTGCCAATGCATTCAAGTGTACTTTCTCTTCTATGAAGTTAAGTGTGGCTGGCTTTATGTTGAGGTCTTTGATCCATTTAGACTTAAGCTTTGTGCATGGTGATAGATATGGGTCTATTTTTGTTCTTCTAACATGTTGATATCCAGTTATTCCAGTACCATTTGTTAAATATGCTTTCTTTTTCCCATTCGATATTTTTTGCTTCTTTGTCAAAAATCAGGTGTTCGAAGGAGTGTGAATTAATATCTGGGTCTTCTATTCAGTTCCATTGGTCCTTATGTCTGTTCTTATGCCAATACCAGGCTGTTTTCAGTTCTGTAGCTCTGTAGTAGAGTTTGACGTCAGGGATTGTGGTGCCTCCAGAAGTTCTTTTATTGTACAGAATTATTTTGTCTATCCTGGGTTTTTTCTTTTCTCTATGAAGTTGATTATTGTTCTTTCAAGGGCTATGAAGAATTTTGTTGGGGTTTTGATGGGCATTGCATTAAATCTGTCTCATTTGACTCTTAGGAGGACATAATGAACTCACTTTGGGAATAGACAGAGAGTTTGAGGCAGGTATATTCCCAGAACCCCTCCAGGGAGAACATGGTGGAGTCTAAGTTGGTCCTAGACTTGTATCCTGCATGCCCAAAGACTTGTACCATACCCCACGAAGCCCCTCTCTGCTTAGAATGAATTTTTAACTTTTTGAAGCCGTTAATCAACTTAGATTTCCAGTCAACCATGTGCTCTTTCATCCTCAATTATAATCCCTGGCATTTTTTCTCTTGATAGAGAAATTTGCAGAAATGTGCTAGTTATCAAACCCAGAACTAGGCTCATTCCTCAGCTTCTATGATAGTCGTTATAGATTTCTTCTCTCTGAGAGAAATGAAGCAAAGCCAGTTGACTCTCCAGAGACATTGTATACCTTCAGTGAGAAGGTGTCTCCCACCAACAGAAAGGCCTTCATGGAAGATATCGTCTTTCAATATAATAATACCTAAATATTTTTTCATGGGAATGTCATTCCTTTTGGCTCAGGAATCGAGATATTACATGATCTGTATCCAAAAGTCAGAGGATGTCTTGTAGATTGCCCTTTTTGTTAGAGCCCTGTGGCCACAGGTTAGCAAGGGTATGTGGGAGATGCTTGGATCAGTAGCATAGGAACTGCTGGGAAGTGATTTTAAGACGAAAATCTTGGGAAGTCATTGGTTCACACACAGAAACAAGGAAAGTTTTCTGGGTCCTTTGCAGCCTTGGGTGCGGAAGAATAAGCATAAGCATTCATCTTCAAACGTTTTGATAGGAAGTATGAAAATTTTGCACAATGTGTCGACCTTATTAAATCTTGGTAGTGTCCTTGGGTTCCTGGACTGAAGCTGTAACACTGTGCACAACTGCGCTGAACCAAGCCCCTTGCTCCAAGGAGATTTCCATTCTAGATCTATTTTACAGCGACTCTGTATTTACAAAACCAAAGCTTTTCAGAGCCATGGTAAATATTAAATTGCATGCAGGCAACTTGGCAGCCTCTGTGTAGAATAAACAGGAATATATATATATATATATATATATATATATATATATATATATATGAACTGCTCTTGAAATTAGAGCACCTCTCAGAATTGTAATGTTTTACATCCTGGAACTATGTACATCTAAACCCTTTCATAACAACCTCTGTACTCCATCTCAAGCTGTTTCTTCCTGCATATATCAGGGCCTTTATAATCAAACCATTTGTACATCTGCCTATACCTATGTCCTTACAGGGAGGCGGAAGAGCCTTGAGCAGGCTAGAAGGCTTTAGCAGTATATCACTTTCCGCTGGAAAGGTGGCTTTCTCCTTTTTCCTAGGAAGCACCTTCAAGTACAGAAGATGGGCAGAAACATGACCGCTCTTTCAGCCCCTCAGGGACGTTCAGAAGAAAAGACTACTCCGGCGCTCTACTCTGAGACAAAGTAAATCTAAGGAGGACTGGGCCTGGTGGTACCGATTCTAACACTCAGAGGCAGGGGGATCTCTGTGAGTTCAAGGCCAACTTGGCTTATATATCAAGTCCAGGCCAACTAGTGCTACACAGTATGACCCTATCTCAAAGATGTATTAAACATGAAGGGGCCCTGGAGACTCAAAGCTCAGGGTCTCCATGGCACAGGACAACACAGGATATCCAAGAGGAGCCCCGGTGAGGGCCCAGCAAAAGCCAGAGGCCTCGAAGCAGACCAGTGACTCTTTGTAATGAACACTCAAGTAAAGATATATGGGTATAAGGGTGTAGCGCATGATCCAATGTGTCACACTAAAGCTTCTATAATAAGATTTTTCTTCTTTTCTCTTAGATTTTATTTTATTTTTGGGGGAAGTTGCAAGGACAAAGGGTAGATATGAAAAGACAGGGAGACAAATGGGATCAAGATGCATGATGTGAAAAACATAAAGAATCAATAAAAAGAAAGTTTAAAAATAAAAACAAACAAACAAAAATAAAACAAAATTAAATAAAACAACAAAAAGAAATCTGTGGAATTTCTATTTTGTATTCTCAGAAAAAACCAAATCTATGTATAAGCTGAGAATCACAATTCTGTTTTTCTACTTCTTCATAGTAATTAATAACGGGGGGAAAAACCCCTAAGGTCTTTCATCAACAAAGAAGGGAAAATGAGTTTGCTATCCTACAGCTAAAATTTGAAAAGAATGAACTACAAAGAATGGACTAAGTAAAGGCTGGCCATAAAATAGTTGCTTGGGGTGAGCTTCAGAAACAAAAATAAACCAAATCGAGGAATAATTTGGATTAAAAAAATGTGGCCTAAGGCTGATTCATGTGATTCACGTGATCTTCTCAGACCAGCTGGTGTGGAATTTCATCCAGGGAAGGAAGGACCGGCACATGGGAACCAAAAATGATTAGGAACAACTTATTTCTTTGCTAGGTGATTTTCACCAGTGAGTATGGTTGGTAAGTCACGTCCCCAAGTCTGTTCTTCGCTTCATGGATGACACACGGCAGCTCCCTGAGTCTTGTCCCTAGCCCTCCCCATTTTCTTAGCAAGACTTTTCTTCTTTCTGCCTCCTGCTTCCTCTTCAGCATCCTCTTCCGGGTGCAAATGATGGGACTGCTTTATCCTGCGCTTTATCGTCTGTAGTAAGAGCTGCGGGCCTCTTCCCACAGCCCAGCTCCTGGCCGCCTGGCTAGCTTATACCCCGAAATAACAACACACAAACTGTATTCATTTAAACACTGCCTGACCAATTTCTATTAATGTGTGTAACACCGAGGTGAGGTGCGCTTACCGGGAAGATTCTAGCCTGCATCCATCCTGGGTCAGAGCTTCATTGTGTCTGCCCGGGAGAGGGGATCATGGCATCTGAGCTCACTTCCTCTTCCTCCCAGCATTCTGTTCTGTTTACTCCACCCACCTATGCTCTAACCTATCAGGGCCAAGCAGTTTCTTTATTAATTAACCAATGACCTTCCTTTATCAATTGTCAGCTTTTTCGGCCCCTTTCTCCACTTGGGGCAATACAAACCCAGGAACTGAGAGACTCAGAATTGTTTTTGAGTTAAAAGAGATAGAACTGGTGATTGAGCAGATATAGATGAATTCCTAGCAGTGAGGGGAGAGAAGTAAGAAGCTGGCAAATGTATTCAAGTGTGTGCATGTGTGTTTGGTGTGTGTGTGTGTGTGCGTGCGTGAGTATATGCGTGTGTGTGTATGTGTGTGCGTGTGTGTGTAGGTGTGTATGCGTGTGTGTGTGTGTGTGTGTGTGTGCATGAATCACATGCAGAAAGTCCCAAATACCTAAAAGATGCTGCCTCTGACCTCACTACCACGATTTGCTGCCTGCTTAATTCTTTGGAATTTCTCTGGGCTTCTCTCACCTCTACCCAAGCACCCCTCTCTTGCATTTTAGCACCCAGAAGTGAATTACAAAAAGGAAAGGCGAAAAAGCCATATAAAACTAGGCCATTACTAGCTGAGAGTGTCAGGAGACCTGATAATGGCTATCTGGGACCAGCAGCTGAACATCACAGTGCTGGCAGGAAGAACAAGAGGTTTGAGGACTGTGTAGGATCTAAGGAGAAGCTGTAGGATTAGTACATGGGTTATCATGTTAGGATGTCTGGAATCAGAAACACTTGGAAGGTCTGTCAACAGACCATTTTGAATAGATTTTCAGGAGAGCAGTAAATACAGGACTTAGCAGAAGTCCAGTAAGTGTTGGGCTTTAATAGTGACGGATCTCAGGAAAGAATCTACAGAAAGGAAGGCTGAGACCTAGAAGATCTTCTAGTTCTGAGAGATTTCTTGTAGAATCAGGAGACATGGAAGTAGAGGGGTGTATAAATTATCTGTAAGAAAAAAACATAAAGAGGAGAAACGGTAAGAGGCTATGAAGAAAGGGCTGTAGAAGAGAGATAGCAGGAAGAAAGTGAACCCCGTAGGGGGGATCAGGAAAAGACGATGGATGGAGAAAGATGATTTGAGAAAGTGCCTCAAAGTCAGGTCAATAGGTGGAGACTCCGTGTGGAGGGAGCATCCTGAAGAAAGAGAGGGACATTGAGGGACTTGGTGTATATCCAAGGAACAGTGAGGAAGCTTGCGTTTGACTACAGTGTAGGGAAAGTGTGGAGGATTCAGTATTGGGAAGGTAGTTTAGGAAAACACTGTGGAGGATCCCAAAGTCTAAGCTATGCAGTCTGTGTTTAATTCAGTGGGCAATGAGAAGACACGGAAAGCTTTTCAGCAGGTTCATGAACATAGATTTATGCATCTGGAAGCCGTGTGAGACCAGTTGGGATAGAGCCTGGTGGGAGGAAGGGAAGTGTGTTAGAAGACACAACAGACCATTTCTGAGGTAAGGAGTCTGACAAGGAGTAATAGCGATGAAAATCCACGTTGGTGACTTTGAGGGGGGAAAAAGAAGCTAAAGATATCTACAGACTTTTACATGTGTGTTGTAGTAATATGCAAGACCAGAAATAGCAACAGCCTCACTGGTGGAAGATGTAATGAAAAGGAATGTAGGTGTGGTTAGTATGGAGTGCCAACAGGCTACCTAGACACAAATGCCCAATGGGAGGTTAGAGAGAAAATCTAAAACCTCAGGGATAGATCTGTACAAAACATAAAACCCTTGGATCGTCGGGTTTATTTTTAAAACCAGCTCTCTCGGCATTTCCCACCTACAGATTCAAGTTGGACAGAAGGCGGCAAATGCATTGAAAGCAAAGCGTTGAACCAATTATAGAGTTGGATCAAGTGCAGATATTTTATGTAAGAATACTTTTTTGTCTCTTTAATGGGATCTAAGGCACAGAAGAAATCAATGAAGTTATGATGGTGAGATGGGCCTGAGAGCAGGAGTTCCTGTGACCCACTGAGAGCTGGAAGAATCAAAATGGCCGAGGATAAAAGGCAGTCTGTGTGATTCGATATTGTACTCTCTAGGGATACGGTATGAGGGCAAAGGAAAAACAACGACGCGTTGGCTCAGACCAGAACTTTCCCTGGCTTGAGTTAAAAAGAGCTGGCAAGTTGGAAGGCACAGGAGTTAACAGGAAGGGCATTGTCCTTTCAGCCTTGGTCAGTTGATTACAGTCCCAGAGGAGCCACCTGCCAGGAAGGCAGAGAGGGGAGGCTGGTCAGCCGAAGGAAGATGCAGTGCTTGCCCCCCACTCCCCAGGAGCCCCTGGGGCCCACCTACCTAGTAGTGGTGTCATAATTTTCCTGTGATTCATTTGGTTTTTTGGTTTTCCAGTTTTCCTTTTTCTTTTTATATTCCTCTGTGAGGATTAGACCATTTGTTCTTGCCTTGCAATTTGAGGCTGCCTCATTTTTTAAATTTTTTATTTTTTTTAATCAATTGAGAAACTTTTAACTAAGTCTTTGCTGCTTTGTTCCAGGCAGAAGGAAGAAGGGACCAAATAAAATACAGGCTGCTTACCAAGGACAGAGGGTCTTAACCAGGGACAGCTCCTTCATATCCCCTGGCGTGGCTATGGAACCCCACCTTCCAAGGTCTCATTTCGATGCTATGTCAGGATCCTACAAAGACTGGACTCGAGACATTGGATCCCCTTCAAATACACGGTTGAGCTGAGGATCAACGCTACATGGTTTTCTTTCTGCCTGAAGCCCGACTCCAGCCCACTTGTGAGGAAACCATGGAAGCTCTGCTTTCACTCCTTGATGGTGAGTATGAGAATTACTGGTCGCCAGCAGCGCCGGGAAGGACAACCACAAAGTAGGTGCTGACCATGCTGCACTTCTTCGCATCTGCCTCCTGCCTTGGCCTGCTTTGCCGTAGTGATGGGAATATGGTTGAGGTGAAGGAGTGTGCTGTTGTTCAGAGGCCAAGCCACGAGCTTAAAAATACTCTATATTCTAATAAAGAGTCATGTTAGCATTTTAAACATTTGTTTTGCTGGTAATTAATTTTTATTGCTCTAGAAGAATATTGTACTACTTAGCTATTACAACTCGAAAGCTATAAAGTAAGCCCTTTTAAAACTCAGTGGTGCGTGCACTTGTAGACCTGTGAGAAAATTCTGCTGAGCTGGCGGTACTCACCGATGCGTTGGAGCTAAGTGGCAGGCAGCTGGTTGAGCAGGCTCAGTCTAAACCTGCATGAGGGGCCATATTCATGCTCTCTGTGCCCTTTTTCAGCAGGTTTGACCTGACCTGCAGGAGGGGATCAAGCCCCAGCCTCCAGACACTATTCAAACCTCTGACTATATCACACTTGTTAACACCCCATTTGTGCTGGCTCCTTCCTTATGTCAACTTGACACAAGGTAGGATCATCTGAGAAGATGGAACCCTAATCAAGAAAATGCCTCAGTATGATTGATTGGCCTGTAGGCAAGTCTGTAGGGTGTTTTCTGGATTGACGATTGAGGTGGGATGCTGTCCTGGGGCAAGTGGTCCTAACAGGGGTGTTTAGGAAAGCAAAGTGAGCAAGCCAGGAGAATCAAGGCAGTCAACAGCACTCCTTCTAGTCTCTACTCTAGTTCTTGTCTCCAGATTCCTGCCCTGAGTTCCTGCTCTGATTTCCTTTGGTGATGGACAGTGACGTGGAAGTATGAATGAAATAAACCTTTCCCTCCCCAAGTTCTTTTGGCCACATGTTTTATCACAGCAACAGAAACCTAAGCAAGACCCCATCAAATAAAGGAAGTGTCTGAGCGAGAATCGAAGGGCCTGGCAAAGGGCAATGCAAGTACATGTGAAAGACCAGGCTCTTCATTACAATCCCTCTGTTTGGTGATGGGTGTCATAGCCTTGAGCTCCACTCTCTAACTTTGTATATGAGACACCTCAGCAGGGATGTGTTCAACTCTGATTCTTCCAAGTCTGTGTTTTGTGCAGAAGAATCCCACTGCGCTCAGAATCTAATTAGAAACCAGCTGACCAAGGTCTGTGCTCAACTTATTATTTTGAATTTATGATCCTAATATTCACTAAGGAAAGGAAGTACAAAGGAGTTCCTTGGGTGTGCTACCATCTCAATTCTTTAGAAATTTACTTGTGTCTTTGATCCTTTTTATTCATGGGTTAGTAGCAGCATCTAGAAAATAGCTTATATAATTTGTAGAGTTGCTGCTAGCTTGAAATATTTGTGCGACTGCTCTGTTTATTGGTTAATCATTATTTTTATTATTTTTAGCATCTCCTAGGTAAGTTTAGAATGGCTACGAGTTCACAGGCATGGTGCACATGTATTTGGTTTTATATTACAGTGAGTGAAATCCAAACAGCAGCCTTGAGTAATTAGAACAGACATACTGTCTCATCCAGGGCAAATCCCAGCTTAGTGGAAGCTGTATAGCAAGAACATAAAGAAATAAGCTAAGTATTCCACGTGCTATGAAGGAACAGGGTGGAAACGGGAAGAACCAACTTGTGTGTTTGCGGCAATGTAGCCACTTAGCTGCACTCTCTCGCCTATTAAATTCCAAGTGCTTTCTAGGCAGCCACCGAGACTGTCATTTCCTATGTATCTCCATGTGACACCTTGAAATGGTGCTAAGCATTTGACAGACTTTGAACAAATGCAGCTGTGACTGGCTGACAGGATGTCCCTAGTGTTTAGTCACCCATTTCCAAATTTCCTTGTTGGCCACAGTCACAATACACTTCCTGGTTGTAACCCTTTCAGGGTCCTTCTTTGTCCTCTTTGTTTCTCCATGGTTTCCTAATGTGCGGCTGATAAGGGTCAGAAAGGAAATGTCATGGGCGATGGTGTTGCATGAATCAGGGACCAGAGATTTACATAAAAATGCCAACTCCACAATTGTGTCATTGTTGGGGGGAATCAGTTAGTTCTCATCAATGGTCAGCCTAGAAAAGAAGAAAGCTGGTGTGACCCACTCAATGCCACATTCAAGAGGCAGCCATGCTTATAATCTCAGGTCACTGCTGCTCGTGTAGCCCAAGTGTCAGTTCCCGGGATTTTAAAAATAGAATGATTTGGATGTCTGCATACTATAGGATCCCTTGCGGAGAAAATTGATATGCTATCTAAGAGGGAAGCCTGGGGGCCATAACCTGTTTTTTGCTTCTCCTTACAGCTTTTTCACTTCTTGTGAAGAAATCCTAAAGGATAAGGTTGGAAAGATATTGAAGGTTCTTCTTGAAGGTGTTTTCAGACTCCTGTTTCTAAAATGGTCACTGAGAGATCTAAGCCATGGTTCAGTGCCTATAATCTACAATCTTTTCTGAGACTGGGTTTTGATTTTGACCCCACATTAAAATGAAATTATTTTGTTATTTTCATGGATGTTAGAGGCTATGAAATTCCTGGGTCAAAGTCAAGGCCTTTTTTTCCCCTCACAGCACATCAGTGAACACAAACACGGGCATATTTACATCCACACCCTACACTCTAATCTCAATGGGACGATGCAGTGAAGCCCAGTGCCATATACAGAGAGATTTGCTCTGGAAGAGACACACAACTTGGGTCCGAGCAGCCAGTGCATCTGATCTCCATCTCACAGATACTTCTACATCACATTAACACTGGGTCGCTTGCTTGCTGCAAACAGACAACGGGTAAGGAGTGGTCTTCCCAGCTCTCCTAGCATCATCAACAGGATGTCAGAAAAAAGAGGTCAGTAAGGGACTGCCTCCCAAGGGGCTTCATGTATCAGATGGAATCACAGGAAACTGCAGCTTTCAAAGGTTTTAAATACTTCAGCACTGGTAACTTAATACAGTTCAATTTAATACCATGCCCATGCTAATAAAACAATTTCCTTAATGCCTTTTCTTCTCTCTCTCTCTCTCTCTCAAACATTTGACTATTCTGCATTTCCTGTTTCCATTTCTTCCCACAAAACTGTCAAGAAGAAAGGTTCACATTTATTGATTAGTAAATTTTTGAAGTGATTGGTATTGTGTGAAGATAATAGCCACATACATAGTTTTCTGCCTTTCTGTTATTGAGATTGTGTGATATTTTCTTACTATTCTGAAAAGGGAATTTTATTTCTAAGGGTTAATTCATTCAAAATAATGTAAATAAGTAAAAAAAAAATCTTTAGTAGTAGAGTGTTCATCCCCATCTTGTCAACATGTTTATTTCCCAGAGAATCCCTCCTCCCAACGAGGATTTCTATTTGTCTCCTTTCTTTTATTACTGTTTTTTTATCCACTAATCATCTTCATCTTCCTTCTCTCCCTCTCAAATTATCCTTCTCAACACGTTCCCTCCTACTACCAAGCTATTTCCTTTAAACTCTATTTGTTTATGGTGCACTGAATTTAACTAGGGTTGCTTGCAGGAGCGTGGATAGGGTGGTCATTTACTGAAGAATGGGCAACTTGTCAGCAGTTACACCACTGAAGAAAAACAACACCTTCTTCTCCCAGCAACTGGCAGCCACGAATAGTTCCCCAGGCGATATCATCAGCCCCTCCACCACAGCTCTGACAAGCTCATGAGTGGGAGGCCGCTTCGTGTCTAGAAGCCGTTGTTGTAGCCCTCTCCTCTGTCCTCCGGCTCTTACGTCTTTCCGCTCCCTCTTCCGCAGTGCTCACCAAACCTTGGAAGGAATGATACAGAAGTAACATTTAGGGCTGAACACTAATAGTGACTTATTCTCAGCACAATGACCAATTATTTTTGATGACTGATGACTAATTAATGTTTGCATTAATCAATGCCCACTGTAAAAAAGAAGCTTCTTTGACAAAGGCCAAGAATGGGACTAATCTATGGATACAAACGCATTATTACCATTTAGCAAATTAACAACTCGACACACTATAAGCTAAGACCAATGTTATTAGTTCATGGACCCTAAGGATATGTGATCTCTCCAGTCACAGACTTTTGACTAGATTTACAATACAGTCCTAAGTTCCCTCCCATGGAGTGAGCCTCAAATTCAATCATATGGAGGTTGGTTAACTCCTTAATAATGATACCACTATTGCACCAGTGAGTGCCTTTGCTTGGAAAATTGATAATGTATTTTCAGGGATGAGAACTGGATAAGACTACCAAAGACTTCTTCCCAAGCCTCTGATATAGTTCTGGCACTGTGGAAGCTAATCTGTAGAACAGAGCCTTCCAGGTCAGTTCCAGCCAGACCTCTCTGTTTCCTAAAACAGAGTGTATGGTGGCTTGAGCCGATGCGTCTTATCATCTGCTTGTGGTGGGCAACCAAGAGCAATAGCTCTCACCTAACTGAGAGGGAACTCTGGAGCCTCTGGGGCCTCCACGGCCAATAACTCCTGATGAGGTTATCTCCGGTCTGTCACTGGGAGCAGTCTATGGCTTCAGGCAGGGCATCACCCAAACGTTTAGAGTATCTTCATTTAAACTTTTTTAAAAATTATAATTTAAAATAAATTCACCAAATAGTAGGTTTTCATTTGGCAATTTTTATTTTATCGTTGGTTTGACTCACTCTTCCTCTACTCCTTCCTCTCCTCTTCTCTTCTAACCCAATCTCCACTTAAACCTTTCCATCCCTCTACTTTCATATACACATACCCTGCTATATTCCCCCACTTAAAGTCTGTCTTTCCCTTCTTCCCCCAGCAGTCCCTTCCTAAGCTTCCTGGCTTTAGGAACTCCAAGTTAAACATTCCAATCTAAGAATTTGAACATAGGATCTGCATATGAAAGAGAACATGCTGTGTTTGGCTTTCTGGGCCCAAGCTACTTCACTTAATATTATATTCTCCAATTCCATCCATTTTCCCACAAATGTCATGATTTTATTTGTCTTCATAGCTAAATAAAATTCCATTGTGTATATATACTACAATTTCGCTATCCACTTGTTGGTTGATGATATCTATGCTGGTTCCTCTGCCTACTATGTGAGTAGAGAAGCTTGAACGTTAACATGCAGGTTTCTCTCTGCAGCAGTGTAGATTCTTTTGTGTATATGCCAAGGTGAGTCGTATGGAAACTCTATTTTGTTTCTTAAAAACCTCTGCATAGATTTCCACAGTGGCCATGTCAATTTAGACTCCAGCAACAGTAAGTAAGGGTCCCTTTCTCCCCACAGATCACCAGCGTTTGTTGTCATTTATTTTCTTGATGCTATCCACTCTGACAATGATAAAATGAAACCTCAAAGGAGTTTTGATTTGCCTAAATGGATAAGGATGTTGAACACTTTTTAAAAAACTGTAGCCATTTCTATTGTTTTTCTTTTGAGAACTCTCTTTAGTATTAATATTTAGTATTTAGCCCATTGGTTTTTAAGTTGGTTGATGGTTGTCACTCTCTTAATTCTCTGTATATGCTTCCTATTAATCCTGTTACGTGTATAGCTCTTGAAGTGTTTCTCCCATTATGTAGGTGGCTCCTTCACTCAATTAACACTTTACTCTGCAATGTAGAAGATTTTAAATTTTTTTTTAAGCTCCCATTTGTCAGTTGTTGAGCTCATTTCCTGCTGATTGGAGTCCTATTCAGAAACTCTGTGCCAATGCTTATATTTTGATATGTACTATACTTAAATTTTCTCCTCTAGTGGTTCAGGTCTTACAATGAGGAATCTGATCCATTTGCAGTTCATTTTGTGCACAGTGAGAAATCAGGATCTAGTTTAGCTCCCCCATAGGTAGAGAGCCAGCTTTTTGAGCACCATTTGTTAATGACACTCTGCTTTTTCCAATGTGTGCTTTGCCTCTTTGTCAATAATCTGGTGGCTGTAGTTGTGTGGAGTTTTTAAATCTGGATCCTCTATTCTAATCCATTTATTTACATTTCTGTTTTGTGCCAGTGCCATTCTATTTTAATTATGAAGGCTCTGTAATATAACTTAAAATTATGTATTAATGCATCTAACATTATTCTCTTTGCTCAGGATCTCTTTGACTTAGTGGTATCTTTTGCAATTCCAGATTAATTATAAGAGTTTTTTTTCTATTTCTTTGAAGTTTTGATTGGGATCCTGTTACCTCTATAGATAATCTTGTAAAGATGGCCATGTTTATAAGATTAAATTCTCTGATCCATGAGTAGTCAGGTCTTTCTCTATCTAATGTCGGCCTCAACCTCTTTCTTCAATGTTTTACTCTTTTCATTGTAGAAGGCTTTCATTTCCTCAGTTAAGTTTATCCAAAGAACTTTTTTTGAGGCTATTATGAATGAGATGGTGTCCCTGATTTCTTTTTTAGCATGTTTACCTCTAGTACACAGGGAAGCTACTGGTTTCTGTATGTTAACTTTGTGTCTTGCCACTGTTCTAAATGTGTTTATCAGCTCTAGTGATTATTCTGGTGGAGTCTCCAGGGTCTCTTATTATAGAATCACATCTTCTGCAAATAGAAGTATATTTCTGTTTGTATTTATTTTCTATCCTTTTCTTGTCTCATATCTCCAGCTGCAACTTCCAGCTCTATGCTGAATGGAAAGAGAATCAGTGTTACTGATCTTGGTGGTAATATCTTGAATTTTTTCCATTAACATGATATTGGTTATAGATTTGTCATCTGTATCTTTTATTACATTAAGTTCCTCTATTGCTGATTTCTTCAGGACTTTAGTCATGAAGGTGCATTGAAGTTTTTCAATTGTCTTTTGTGTCTATTGAGATACTTATATGATTTTTTCATTATTTCTACTCAGGCATTTATGGATTTATGCCATACTTTTATTTGGTATGAAATCAAATTGGTTGTGATGTGTGATTCTTTTAATGTTTTTTTAAATTAAGTTTGCTAAAATTGTTGAGAATCAGGTAAATCTGTCTATAGTTTTCTTTTGTTTCTTCTTATTTACAGGATGGGATGAATTCTTATTTATTTTTTATTTCAGAGTTTGTTGGCTTCATAGAATGACTTTGCTAGTTGTAGTGGCTAGTTTTATGTCAATGTGACACAAGCTAGCATCATCAGTTAGGAGGGAGCCTTGATAGAGAAGGTGCCTCCGTAAGATCAGGCTGTAGGCAAGCCTGCTGGACATTTTCTTAATTAGTGATTGACATGGGAAGGTCCTGAATATTGTGGGTGGAGCCATCCCTGGGCTAGTGGCCCTGGGTTCCAAGAGAAAGTAAGCTGAGCAAGCCATGTCGAGCAAGCCAGTAAGCAGCACCCCTCCATAGTCTCTGCATCAGCTCCTGCCTCTAGGTTCCTGCCCT